TGAGTACCCTGCAGGGTGAGCTCAGCCTCTGTCCCCTGAACCTCTGCGGGCTGCAACATACCACAGGCCTGCTTTTCCTCAGAGTCCCATTCCGTGTGTCCAGCCCCTTATTGTCAGTCGGGGAACACATCTTGCCCTCTGGCTATTTTCAATGCCATTTCTTTGGAATTCTAAGTTGTGGATCTAAGCTTTCCTGGTTATTTGTGGCTCACAGGGGAAGTCCGGGGCCTGGAGGATGTGCCCTGCTTCTCAGATGGAAGTAACTGGAAATGTATTTATTCTGCAGAAACCACTGACCAGCGCTTCCGCTGGGAGAGTGACCCGGGGACTCTCTGTGTCTCCTGGGACTGCGTCCCACTGAGTCCCAGCATCAGAACGGCTGCTGTGGTGTCTGCTGGGGAAGGCTAGCGGGCAGGGCTCAGTGGCTACCCAAAGCCTCCTGAGAATAAACAGAGCAGCAAGAGGCAGGGAGGCCGGCACCGCCACGACCTCTGCCGCCACGTTGCCCTCCCAGAGCCCGGGGGGTGGGTAGGCCCGCCATGGTGGAGAAGACGGACTGAGCCGGGCCTCCTGCTCCTAGGAGCGGGTGGTTTGTCTTAGTCTGTTTTTGTGCTGCTGTAACAAAGTAACAGAGATGGATATATAAAAAGGAAAAATGTTTTATTTGACTTACAGTTTTGAAAACTGCAAAATTCAAGCTCAGAGCTGGGTGTGGTGGTTCATGCCTGTAATCCCAGCGCTCAAGAGGCTGAGGCGGGAAGAGAAGTGAGTTCAAGGCCAGCGTGGGCTACAAAGCCAGCCTGAACTGCATAGACTCTGTCTCAAAAACAAACAAAGAAAAAAGTTCAAGCTCAGGTGTGGTTTGATGCAGGGGAGGGTGTTTCCACTCCAAAGACAAAGGCGGAGAGAGCTGGGCATTGAGGGGCGCCCAGGCTCGGAGACCCCGTAGACAGTTCTTTAGGACTGAGTGGGCTGAGCTCAGGGCTGGGCCTTGGTGATGTCCAGCAAATAGGCCCAGCCGTTCCTTCCTCTCCAGGAGCTTGTAACCACCACAAGACACAATGCAGACTGTGCAGCCAGGAGTTTTCCCACAACTCTTAGGATGTAAGAAACTCCTTTACTTTTAACAATCAGATTTTTTTTTTTTTTTTTTTTGAGACAGGGTCTCATGATGCAGTTCAGGTTGGTTTTGAACTCACTGTGTAGCCCAGGCTGGACTTGAACTCACAGCGATCCTCCTGCTTCTGTCTCCTGGGTGATGGGGTTACAGGCCTGTGCCCCCACACCCGGCTCAACAATCAGATTAAGCCCTACACCCGGACCTACTTACCAAAGTTGGCGAGAGATCTTAATAAGCGGTGGGATCGTTCAGGATCAGCCCAGAATCCTAAGCTGTGGTCAGCTCTGACACCCGGAAGGGGACCTTTGTCTTCCACCTTTGATGTTCCTGCTGATGCAGACCAGTATTAGTTGAATGAAATTAGCTGCTACAACAGGTAAATCTCACGTGGGTCTGAGGCCACCTCCTCCGTGAGTACCCTTCAGGGTGAGCTCAGCCTCTGTCCCCTGAACCTCTGCGGGCTGTAACATACCACAGGCCTGCTTTTCCTCAGAGTCCCATTCCGTGTGTCCAGCCCCTTATACTCAGAAAACCGAATGAATAAATGAATGAATTCATGCAGGGAATCTTGTCTGCCAGCCTGAGAAGATGGGCTGTGGGTCTTGGCAGTGGGGAGCTATTGCAGGGTCTTGAGCAGGGGAGTCATGGGCTGCCAGGTGGAGGGTGGTTGGGAAAGGTGGCAGCTGGGAAGACCAGCTGCGCCGATGTCCAGATGGGGGCTGACGGGGCGGGCGGGGCCGTGTCGGAGGAACAACAGTCCCGGCAGGGAGGGAGGAGGAGCGCTGGGCGTGGTGCCCTCCAGGTGTTTGGTTTGGACGGACAGGACCTGGTGGGGGATGAGGCTGGTTCCTGGATGAGGGTGGGGGAGGCTTGGGCCAGTGCCTGGGAGACCCCGGCTGAGAGGACTGGGCAGGTGGACGGACATGGAAAATGAGCAGTCATTTCTGTGTAGCGGCCGGAAGGAGACAGACGGCATTTTTCTTGCTTTTTAGAAGCGGCTGCGGCTCCATCTACATCCGCGTGAGGGGTAATGGCAGGGTTTGGAGCAAAGGGCTCCTGTCAGGACAAGCACTTCAGAAGACCTTGATTTGGGGAAGGAGAAGCCTTGGGCTGCCGGGAAGTAACGTGGTAGGGAAGGAGTGGTCCGTTTCCCTAGGGGAGGGGGCGGGGAGGACTGAGGGAGGAACAGCAAAGCTGGGGTCTCCTGGGGTGACCAGAGGTGACCTTGAAAGGCTGTGAGGTCCGATTGTTTCTTTTCCCTACTACCAGGCTTGAACTCAGGACCTCACACCAAGCTACACTCCCAGCTGTGTTTATTTTTACTGTGAGACATTCCATCCTACAGAAAGAGCCACTTTGCCTGGCCTGATAATCAGTTTGAAAGGATTTAAGTTACTATGAGCTCTGAACCCAGTAACCAAAAAGCAAATAACCCGACTGAAAGTGGACCAGGCACCCAAAGACATGCAGACGGCTGAGAGAATAAGGACATCTCTCCATGTCATCGGCCACAGGGAAGTGCACATGAAAACCACAGTGAGACACGCTTCACATCTAGGAGGACGGCTGGAATCAAAAAGGCAGAAGACGGCTGGGTCTGATGGCACAGACCTACAATCTCAGCACTCTGGGAGGCTGAGGCAGGAGGATTGCCATGAGTTCAAGGACAGCCTGATCTACATAGTAAGACCTTATCTAAAAAAAAGAAAGTGGAGTGTGGTGGCACACACCGGTAAACTCAGCACTTGGGAGGCTGAGGCAGGAGGATCACTTTGAATTTGAGGCCAGACTGGGCTACAAAATGAGTTCAAGGCCAGCCTGAACCGCATAGAGAGATCCTGTCTCAAGAAAAAAAAAAAAGAAAAAACCCAAATAAAAACCTCCAAAAACAAAATAACACACTTTGTCAGTTAAGTAAAGAAATAGACTTCAATGTGTAATACTTTTATAATAGCCTGTTAGGTCTCAGATGTAAAGAGACCCCACCGAGCACAGTGGTGTCTTAAGGTTACACATTGTGCATATTTGCCTGATTCCTGTCCACAAGGCCATCTATTTTCAGGCATCCCTGGGTGTCACGGCCTATATCCGGTGCTATCAGAAAGACCCTCTCTCCTTGGGCTGAGACCTGATTGAGATTGTTATTTGATTAGGTCCCAGACGGAGTCCTGACCACTTGAACAAGGAAGACATTTTTGAGATGTCTACATTCCAGAGTGAGCCCTTAGGGCCTATGAGAAATATCAATAAGCATATGCAGTACATCACGTAAATAAAACAATGATAATCGGTGAGGCACGGTGGCGCACGCCTGCTATTCTAGCACTTGGGAGACTGAGACGGGAAGAGTACCACAAGTTCAAGGCCAGCCTCAGAGAGTTCAAGGCCAGTGTAAACTACATAGCAGAAATCCTGTCCCAAAATGAGCAAACCCCAGTGATAATCATCATAGTGTCCTGCATCCGAGGAGTGACTTACATACACAAGAAAGCACCCAAACCCGCTTTCAGGGAGGAGGTCTTTGTGACACTCCTCACCTGCGGGTGAGACTCTGTCTCTATCTACTTCACAATAAATTCCACCTGTACTTCGGCACCACTACTTATGTGTGCTGACTGAATTCTTTTTTGTGGTTTTTTTTTTTTTTTTCCGGTACCGGGAATCGAACTCATGACCTTGTGCTTGCTGGGCAGACGTTGTGCCGCTGAGCTAAATCCTCAGCCCTCAATCCTTTCATTAAAGGGTGCAAAGGACCACAGACCAAGGAGTGACGGGCTGGTTCCTTGAGGCGTCAGGATCTGGCTTCCTGTGATTGGTCACACACACTGTGGTTTTGTTAATAACCACTGAATTTACACTTTAAAACATACAATTTTCAATGTAAAAAATTATACGGTGACTTTTATGTAATGTGAAGTTTACCTCTTTTTTTTTTTTTTTTTTAGGTGCTGAGGATGAAACCCAGGGCGTTGCATGTGCCAGGCAAGTGCTTTATCCCAGAGCTACGTCCCCAGCTCTCCATGAAAACATTTCAGCATATTCTCTGTGTTTAACATTAAATTTTTCTGTAAATTTAAACGTGCTCAAAAAAAATGTGCTGTAATATTTAGGTCTGATACAGTAAAAGAACAGAACAAAACAAAACAGGAAGTAACTGGTGGCGCCCCCTACAGGCCGGGAAGCTGGGCCTCGCTGCCCCCCCCCAACCCCTTCCCATTCACCAGCCTGTACCTCCCTCTCGCTGCTTCTGAGCAGGGTCCTCTCTTCTCCTGGGGTCAGCAGAGGCCCCCTGCCCAGGCCCGACACAAGGGTGTGCTGCCTGTAACCCTCGAGACAGCCACACGGGAAGCAGTATGCAGTACATCACGTAAATAAAACAATGATAATCGGGTCCCACTGAGGGGACCCCTCCCAGGGCCTCAGTAGGCGGGTAGTGGAGCTGGGCTGGACTCGGTGTATCAGCCGCAGGGGACGGAGGGGGCACAGCGGTGAGTTCAGCTCCCAGTAGTCCCTAAACAGCAATGCTGAGGCTAGGGACACACATACAGCCACTGCCCGACACACAGGCACACTCACACACACAGAAACACACACAGACTCACACCCACCCTCATCCCTTCGGCACTGAAATAACACATTCAGGCACACACACACGTACTGAAAGAGTCACACCCCCTCATGCAGACACTGAGAAACAGACTCACAACGACGGGTGGAAAGACACACACCCTGCAACACCCTGCAGTACGCACATTAACACACAGGTACATAGGGAAACTCACACACCCCAAGGAGACGCACACACGCACACACAGAGACACACTGAAAGAGTCACGTGTTGACGCGCAGGCCCAAACACCAAGCCGCACACCCTCACGCTCAGGGGCTGCTAAAGTGCTGGTTACATAAATCCTGGGCTGACGGGGGTGACGCCCATCAGGAGGGCAGGGGCAGCTTCGAGTCCCTCTTGGCCAGTGGGTCACTTTGACCTGACCTGCCTTCCCACGAGGTACTTGGCCATCTGGTGCCCAAGTGCCCTCTGCAGACGCTCACTGAGGTGGGTGGGGCCAGCCCCGCATGAGTCAGAGGCCAGGGAGCAGCTCTGGCACTTGGCAGAGGCACTTGGGGAGCTGCCCTCTTAGCTAACTCCCTTCCCATTCATGGGTCAGTTTTTTCTTTTTGTTTTGTTTTGTTTTTGCCACGCTAGGGACAAAAACCAAGTTTGGAGCATATTGGGCAAGAGCTGTCTACCTTCTGAGCTACACCCCAGCCTCCCTCCCATTCACTGACCTTGGACTGTCAGAATCATTGAGTAAAGGTGTGAGCTTCCAACTGGATCCTGAGGGTCACAGCTACTGATAACGACAGCCGTGCTGGTGACAGTGGATGAATAACTAGCATTTACAGAAATACTCTCCAGGGTCGGCACTGCATTATCACCTTTGATCCCCATGAGGGGCCTACAAAATCAATACTATTATTGTACCATTATAGAGTGGGGAGACAAAGGTCTGCTGAAGTGAAGTAACCTACCCAAGCTTGCACAGTTAGTAAGTGGTCACACTGGTCCTAGAGCCGGGAACAGTTGTATTAGCCAGACGTCACCCCAATGAGGCTGTGTAACAAAGACCCTGGCCTCAGCGGCTGACAGCAACTTACATTTACATTTGTGCTCAGGGTCTGTAGTTTGAGGTCGACTGGCTCATCTAGTTTGGGCTGGGCGGGGTGGCTCTGCGCTTGTCCTGGGTGCAGGCTGTAGGGGTAGCCCGTGTCCACCTCGTATGGCGCTTGCATGGCAGATCCTCAGGGCCAGAAGCTGCACCACACTACACCAGCCCCCCGAGGCTGCAGTGTACGTCTTGTTCATTCTCATTCTACTAGTCAAGGTCAGTATGTGTTGCTCACAGCAACAGGGAAAGGGTGTGGGGTGGTGAATATTTTGCTGAGCAAGAATCTGATTGCCCAGCCTTAACCAGAAACTTGGGACGTGGCCGGTACGTGGCCAGGCACGTGCAGCGGTGAGCAGGATGGGCTGTAGAGTCGGGCTGACTGAGACTGGGGTCCTGGCTTCAGTGCTTCCTGCTAACGCTTAATAGTTTTCTGCTCTGTAAAACAGATTGTTGGAAGTTATAAATGGAATGATGCATATCAAATGCTTGGCCTATCTGTCTGCCTGCCTATCTATCATCTATCTATCTATCATCTATCTATCTACCTATCTATCTATCTATCTATCTATCTATCATCAGCATTCAATTTAGTGGCTTAGGGAGACCCTGTCTCAAAATAAAAATAATTTACAAGGGCTGGGGATAAAGCAGTTCAGGTGAAGGCCCTGGGTTCGATCCCCAGTAACACACACGGAAACGCACATATACACGAACACACACAATTACACACGCAGTTATAATTACCTTCTTGTTTTCTAGCTTTGTTCCACAGTCTGAGAGAGGAAACCACGTGATCTCGGCCCTTGGCACTCTGACCCGACCAGCTGTGCCCCAGGACAGGGTCTGCTTTGGCAATGATCCGTGTGCACCTGAAACAAAGGTGCACCCCGCAGCTGTGGGAGGAAGCTTGCAGGCGTCAAAAGCGTTGTTCAAGTTGCCTCCAATGTTATGGGCTTTTTCTGCCTCCTCTTTACCAAAATGAAATATTCAGAGTCCGCAGAATAGCTGTCCTGTTACAAGTATCTATTGCTGCCTGAAGAAACTCCCAGGGACTTTCTCTTCTGGTTGGGGCTGCTCTTAGGCTCTGTGTGCTTGAAAGTATCTTTATTCTGTCCACATTTTATATTTTAATTAATTTTTTTTTTTTGAGACAGGGTCTTGCTATGTAGTTCAGGCTGGCCTTAAACTTGTGGGAATCCTCCTAGCTCAGCCTTCTGAGGGCTGGGATTGTAGGCACGTACCACCATGCCCGGGATAACTTTTTTTCTTTTTTGGGTACTAGGGGATTGAACCCGAGGGTGCTCTACCACAGAGCTACATTCCCACTCTTTTAAAATTTTGAGGTAAGGTCTCACTAAATTGCCCAGGTGGTACTCAGCCTCCAAGAGTACTGGGATTACAGGTAAGTGTCAGCATGCCTGCCACCACCTGTATTTATGAAGGATAATTCCACTGAACTGAAGTCAACTTTGGCCCCAATCATTCATTTGTTCAGCAACTATTTGATGGGTTCCAAGTAGGTGTGTTCCAGGGACATGGAGGGATGTTGGCTGGCAAAGCAGACACTGGCTTGCCCTCTGAAAAGAGAAGGGGAGGGCGGTGCTGGCAGAGCAACAGGAGGTACAAAGACTGTGGCTGGGAGGAACGGAGCAGGGGCCTGGATGGCTGAAGGGAGGCTGCCTCAGAGAGCAAGAGGATCTGGAAAGTACAGTGAGGAATCATGTTTTGCCTTCATCCTTAAAGATGAAACTTGAGCTTGAGGGTGGACGCAGGGAAAGGCAGGAGAGAAGGGAAGAAACAAGGCGGGTTCTGAGCACCAAATACGGACCAGGCCTCTCACAGGATCCTAAAGTCCTGGGGAGGCCGGACTGAGTCCCTGCCGCTCACTCCGCTGTGAGGGTGGACGGGTCCCTTCCATGCAGTCAGCTTCCTCCTCCGGGAAGCCAGAGCAACACCCTTGCTCTGCCCGGGCTGCTGTGAGGCCTGAAGGAAGCAGCCAGCCTGGAGGGCAGAGCTCAGGAACTGCAGTCGGCAGGGCCTCAAACATATCAGCTACTGCTTCGTGGCTAGGATTTTCTCTTCCACTCTCAGACTCAAAGAGGGCAAGTCATCTTCCCCACATCGGACAACCAGGAAGTGGTGGCAAGGACCTCAGCGGGCGAGAAGCAGGTTTGAGCCAAGCATGGTGGCGCATGCCTGTAATCCCAGCACATTGGAAGCTGAAGCAGGAGGATTGCTTCAAGTTCAAGGTCAGCCTGGGCTGCATAGTGAGACCCTGTCTCAAAAAAAAAAGTGAGTTCGATCTCTTGTTTGCGTGGCAGACTCCATCCTGCTCTCCACCGATAGGGTCACTGAGGCCCAGAAAAATAACTTGTCCAGGGCCACCTGACTCTTGTTCATCGAGGCATTGACCCGCAGGCCCAGGAAGGCGCTGTGTACACACAGATAAAAACTCCCACGCTCACAAAGCTCAACTACTGGGGTGTTGAAGGGGCTGATGTTACACAAAGCAAACAGGAAAATAAATAGATTTGCTAGATGGCAGTGAGGGTTTTTGGGAGAAATACAGCTGGGAATGGGGATGGCTGGCGCAGTGGAAAATGGGGCTCAGGCGGCCTCACTCCTCCCCCTGCTGTCAGCACGAAGGAAGTCACTGAAGCGGGGGCTTCCTCCTCAGCCTGTGGAAGGAGAGAACAGGGAGGGAACTCACCTCTGTCCCGCCCAGCTCCCACCCTGGCTCCGGCTAAGTCTGCCCACCGGCTCCTGGCCAGGGACACTGGGAGCCATTAGGATACCTATTTCAAGGATGGAGAATAGATTCACAGTAGGGAAAGCTTTACGTCTTACCCCAAATCACTCAATCAGCAAATGTTGATGCAGCAATAAAAGCCCATTTTAGTGCCTACTGAGAGAGCACAGGCGGCTGGAGCCAGTGCCCAGGGGCAGCGCAGCAGTGAAGGCGAACCGCTGGTGGGAGAGGAGACATCAGGGTTGCTCCCTGATGAGTGGCTTCTTTCTGAAGAGCTATCAAGGGGCAGAGAGAAAACCCCAAGGGAAGAAAGGAGAGCTGTTTGTTAAAACTTCAGGAAAGGTCACTGGGTAATTGGGCTTCAGGGATAGATAACACTGCCTAAGAGCTGGGTGTAGTGGCGCACAGCTGTAATCCCAGCACTTGGGAGGCTGAGGCAGGAGGGTCATTGTGAGTTCCAAGCCAGCCTGAGCTATATAGTGAGTTCAAGGCCAGCCTGAACTACATAGTGAGGCCTTGACTCAAAAAAAAAAAAAAAAAAAACAACAAAACTCCTGTCCAGGAGTGGAGAAGGCCACCCCTGAGGTCGCGAGCCTCCCATTACTTGGGGCATGTAAGTAGATGTGGCTTTTTCATTTGCTAGGGAGGCTGAGGCAGAAACGTGTGGAAGCCTGACCTGACTGATCTCTTCGAAAGCCTTCAGAGGGCCCGAGCCTGTAATCCCAGCATGCAGAAGGCTTCTGCTAGGAAGCAGGAGGATTGATGCAAGTGTGTGCCAGCGTGGGCTACAAGACTGAGTTCAAGACCAGCCTGAACTACTAGATGGCGGGACCCTGTCTTGTTGGGGAGAAATCCAAAAGACCCAGGCAAAGACTTCTGCCTGAAAATATCCGCATCGGGCTTTTGATCTGAATTACTCCAACCACATTCAAGCTGCAAGTCTCGCTTCCAAGCAAGGTGTTTGCTTTCACTGAGGGAGAGTGCTGGGGGTGGAGCAGGATGGGTTGCATCAGTCCTGAAGTGACATCTAAACGGTTACCTTCCTTTATTCCCAGATAAGGCAAAGACATAGAAATTCTTTTTCATGGTTCAAACAAACAAGAATTTCCGGGTGGGTCCGGAGACTGGGGCTTCAGTGGACATGTGGTAGGGGTGAGGGAGACGTTTCTCAGAAGCCCTGCTGCTAGAGGCTCCCCAGAAATGGCTTGCACCCCAGCAGGCCTGCTTGAGATCCTGAGCAGGGCACGGTTCCTGATCTTTGTGATTGGTCGTTTAGAGAACCAGCCCTTCAGCCCTATGTACCCAGACCTGTGGGTGGCCAGTGCTTTTTTTTTTTGAAAGTCTCTAATTTATCAGTACATTTCAGATGTTCAAAAAAAAAAAGATATACGTAATGATCAGATTCATCATAGGGATGAATTCATTTGTACCTGTACATGATATATCTTACCCCCCCACACGCCCCTACCCTCCCTTCAGCCCCTCTTCCCCTCCTACTCACAAAAGCTTTGCTTTCCTCGTGGGGCAGTTCCAGTGTGCCCGCTCCAGCTAGGCAATGCTGGAAGGTTGTGATCAATTTGTAAAGCAGTCAGCACAGAACTGAGGGCAAAGGCCGCTCAGCGGATGCGCTGTGGAACAAGGGCTTGACCTTGGGTCAAGCGGAATCGGGAAGGTGAGGTTGAAAAAGTCCTGCCCGGTCCCCTGCTGGCTGGGGAACGGAGCAAACTCTCCTTCCCCATGTATCTAATACCTGGCTACAAAAGCAGTTCTCCAAGATAGGAAACAGGCATGGTTATGTAAAAGACACTTTCGATAGTTAGCTTATGAATATGTGGCAGCTAGGGACAGGGCCTGAGATAGTTGGGTGATCAGCTGCGTTAATAAGAATTGTTTTTGTGGTTATTTCTTTGAGACAGGGTCTCACTATGTAGTTTAGGCTGGGGTTTAACTCAATATGTAGTCCAGACCGGCTTCGAATTTGTGGTAATCGTCCTGCCTCAGTCTCCCATGGTGCTGGGATTATAGGCCAGCACCACCAGGACCCGCTCATATAGATAAGAATAAACCGTGCTCTAGGACTTTAGACCAAGAATAAACTTCCTCAAGCAACACGCAATGCAGTTCCTCCCTACTATCGTCCTGAGTTCCGAGGAATTTAAAATGCAGAATTACTGATCCGCATTGTGATCCTTCGTTTTGTTTCTTCATTTGGGGACAGGACTGGGATCTTGCGTCGCTCTCCGCAATATTAGCGCGCAGATACGTTCAGAAAACACCAGGGAGCAAACGTGGGACTGAACGAAGAAACGAGAGAGCGGAACAGGAGTCTGTGGCTGAGCAAAAACAGCCAAGGGGCCTTGGAGGAGCCGGTACAGCGCCTGGAGGAGCAGCTACTGTGCCCGCCTGCATCGCCTGCAACGCGAATCTCAGAGGGGGCACGGCCCGCCAAAGTCCGCGACTGCGGGAGAGGGTGATGGTGGGAGAGAGCTGCCCGGGAAGTTCCTTATTTATACCTAGGGTGCGCGGCCGGTGGCTTCTAGTCCCACTGCCTCGAGTCAAAGACAGGGTGGCCAGGCCATTTGGGAGTTCGGGTGCAGGGCCCGAGGACCAGAGGGACACCACGGCCTGGCTGTCTCAGAACCTGCAGGCTCCCCCACGCGACTGACCCTGGGGCTTGTAGTTCTCGTGTCACCTCTCGGGTCACCGAGAAATCAAGCAAGACGGGGATCCGGAACTACACTTCCCAGAAGGCTAAAGGAATCGGGGTCACCGGAAAAGCGGCCCGGCCGGTAGCGCTTCCCCAGCGCGATGGGGCCGACTCCAGGGGTGAGTGACTGCGCGAGGCCCCCCCGCGTGGTCCCTCCTGTGGCGGCCTGCCGGGGGAAAGGAGCTGCGGGCCAGGGAGCCGAGGCCATGAGTAGCACTGCGTCGGGGCCCGACTGCTGTGGAGGCCTGGGCAATATCAACTATAGAAAGGTACTGATCGTCCTGGGCGGCGGCTGACATCCGAGAGCGATGGGGAAGACCGCCTCCAACGCCTAGTGGGCGGGGCCATCGTTACCAGACAACGGGGTGGGCGACCCAGGCGAGGCTGCGGCTGTTGTGCGCGTGCGCGTGTTCAAGCGCGTATATAAGCGTGTCAGAGAGTGGGGAGCTTTGGGGGTTGAGTGTGCACGTGTGTCTCTGAAATGAGTCCCGAGCATTGTGCGTGTCTCTGGGGAGACGGGAGTCGCATGATCTCAGAGATGGGGTCTCAGAGTTCGTGTTTTTGACATTGTGTCTCTGAGATTGTGTGAAATCTGAGATTGCGTGAATCTGGGGTTTTGCACCTGCGTCTCTGGGATTGTGTGTATCTGGCATTTTGCACGTGAGGTGTTGGCACTGCTGCGTTTCTAGGACCGTGTGGTCAGAGTTGCGCAGGGAGTGCGTGTCTGCGAGTGCCAGTGTGTGCAGGTGTGAAGGAGCAGCGCGCCGTGTGCACACTGAGAGCCTGCGCATGTGTGGGGACCGTCAGGGCCCGTGCTCCCATCCTGTCTCTGCAGAACCCGGGGCAGAGCCCTGGGCTCCCCCACCCCTAACCTCGGGAGGCTGCGGGCCTGCTTCCTGCTAGGGGGGAGACTGGGAGGTGTGGGACTGGGATGGCAGGATGAGCCTGGTGTCTGGGAACGTGGCTGGGCCGACAGCAGAGTCAGGGGCTGGAGAGTTTACATTTCTCAGCATCTCCCTGGACTCCCAGTTCCTGCATTCCCCATTCTCCCGACTATCCAGGCTGTTTCTTAGATTCTTCATTTGTCTTTTTACCAGCTTTCCCCACCCGCCTCTTTTGGGACAGAGTCTCACTGCGTATCCCTGGCTGGCCTCAAACTCGCAGTGATCCTCCTGCGTCTCAGCCTCCCAAGTGCTGGGCTTATAGGCGTGTACCACCACGCCCAGCTGTCAGTCCTCAGCTACACAGTATCTCTGCTAGAAGTAGCCTCTAATCCAGTTCATTTGTTCTCTTTATTCATTACTCTTGGGTGTGTGGATTCATTTTTTCATGGATACCGCCACTGTTTCCCAGGGGCCTTGTGCTTGACAATTAAGGGCCTGCTAGTGCTGAGCTGACATCCTTATGAAGATGTTGGGCTGTAGACAGGAAGCTCTCTGGAATCAGCCCTGTAATCCCAGCCTCGGGAGGCTGAGGCAGGAGGATGGCAAGTTGGAGCCCCGCCTGAGAATTAGTGAGAACGTGTCTAAGTAAATGAATAGGGCTGGGTATGAAGGTCAGTGTGAAACCCTGGGTTTCATCCCAGTATCAAGCAGGGTGCTGATGGCGGTGCTGATCAGCATATTAGAAATACCGGGTGGGAGGGTTTGTGAGGGAAGTTTCTGAAATACACCACTGGGGGAAGGTTTCCTGGTTGAAGGAAGCACGTTCACAGGCCTTGAGGGCTGGAGGGTGGGCAGGACAGTTGGTGAGGATGGGTGGGCAGCAGAAGGCGGAGGAGGCTAGTTTTCTTATTTTAGTAAACTTTTCACTGAAGCGTAGCATCTGCTCAGGCGGATGGCAGATCATATTGTACAGCTCCTATGTTTGCTGTGACCACCCAGCACGGGACAGGTTATCGCCAGGCGCCCCTGGGGCTATCCTGTGGCCCTCTCTAGGGAGGATGTTCTATCGATGGAATCCTTGGAATCTCCCAGCACTGATAGTAATGAGAGTCTGTAGACCCACAAGGTCAAGGCAATGATTCATGTTTTCTACCCCAGCACATGGAAGATGGAAAAGGCCCTGGCTTGGGAGTGGGTGCTTCCTGGAGGGTAGTGGGCCAGGAACTTGTGAGAAGGACGCTGTGGGGCCTCAGGGTCAGTGTCCCATCACAGACCTCCCGCAATGACGGGATCACTGGCCTGCCCACAGATAATGGGAACCAGGCCTGAGTTTTAGGCCTGAGCCAAGAGATGTCAGGCCCGGCCTGTGGGTGGGAAGGTTACCTGCTTATGTGTGCGGGGTGTTCCTGACGTTTCTCCTCCCCTTCCTGACAGGCTGGGCCCTGCCGCTGAGAAAGACTGGAACGTTTCAAGGACAGGTCAGGCTGACCCTTGTTAACTAACAGTCTGTTTTTTGTACTGTGCTCTGTTGGTACATTTCAGTTTCCTGTTTCCAAGGGATTTTTCTTTAACAATAACATCAACATTATATATTTGTCTTATGTGGTAGCTCTCCTTCTCGGTTCAGAATCTCCGGGTTTAAGATATGTCAGCCTTTAGCCTGAGAATGTTTTAAGGTTTTTCTGTACCCCATGGGCACCTGAGCTGCAGGTTCCCGGTCCCGTCCTGTGGAAACATCGTGTGTCCCATCTGTAATGTAAAATTCTGTGCTGGGGGTGTAGCCAGTGCTATAGTACTTACCTAGCATGTGTGAGGCCCTGAATTCCATCCTCAGCATGGTGGGGGGAAAAGGAAAAATAAAACCTGTTTGGTAGCCACAGAACAGAAAAACAAAGAGAAGATAGAAAAGAAAGGTAAAAAAATAATTTTACCGACATACAGTTGGCCCTTTGTATCTGCAGTTTTTGTATTTGCATAGCTCACCAACCACAGAGTGAAAAAAAAATTGCAACTGTAGTGCGCAGACCTTTTCTTGTCCTGGTTCTCTAGGCCGTGTGGTGTGATTATTCACGTAGCATTTGCATTGTACTAGGCATGGTGAGTCCTCGGGGGGTGACTTAAAGCAGTGGTCCCCAAGCTTTCGCATCAGAGGTCAGTTTTGTGGAAGGCAGTTTTTCCATGGATGGGGCTGGGGGGATGTGGTTTCAAATGATTGAAGCTCATCACATTTATTGTGCACTGTGTTATTATTATTATATTGTAATACATGATGAGATGGTTACAAACTCACCACAGTACAGAAGCGGGGGAAGCTCTGAGCTTGTTTTCCTGCAACTAGATGGCCCCATCTGGAGGTGGTGGGAGACAGGGACTCCCCAAGTGTCTTGCGTGTGTCCGGGCCACTGCATACTCTTGTTGTGGTTGCTCTCACTGCAGAAAACTCTGCTTTTCAAGGATGGGATGCTGGAAATGGAAGCAGAACTTCTGGTGCTTTTATAGTAAACTCAGGATATTCCACCTGGGCTTTAATCCAGAATTTATGGAGATTCAAAGCTGTCTCAAACATACCTTTTTTTTCCTAATTTTTTTGAGATAGGGTCTTACTATGTAATTCAAGTTAACCTTGAACTCCCTATGTAGCCCAGGCTGGCCTCGAACTCATGGCAATCCTCCTGCCTCAGCCTCTTGAGTGCTGGGCTTACAGGCCTGTGGCACCCTGCCTGGCATGAACTATTTATTTATTTATTTACTTATTTATAGACAGAGTTTGGCTGTGTAGTTCAATTCAAGCTGGGCTTAAACTCACAAGGTAGCCCAGGCTGACCCCAAATTTGCACCAATCCTCCTGCCCCAGCCTCCTAAGTGCTGGGCTTATAGGTATGTGCCACAAATATACATTTAAGGCCGTTATAATTTGCGATCTCAAGCAGCTGATCCTCTTTTAGCACGGACTAAGTCAGTCTACCTGGCTGATTCACAAATGGGTCAAGACCATTCCTTCCCAGTCAGTTCTTTAGTGGTTGGAAAACAACGCTCAAACTCTTGCAGGCTGAGATAGGGGGTCATGTACCAGCTGAGAGAAAGAAGGTCCCAGCTCTCTGTCTCTTTCAAAATCTCCGCTTGTAGAAAACCAGCCTTCGAGTTTGTCTCTGACCAAGGGGTGAATGAGGAAGAAAGACAAAAGACACAGAATTAATTTAGAAAGAGGGGCTGGGGGCTCTTGCCTCTAGTGGACAAAGAGCCCTGAGCATTTGCTCACCTCACCTTTACTTGCTCAGACAGGGGAGCAAGCAATTAGACCAGCACAAGATGCACCTGTCTCCCTTTATCTAGAGTACAAGCTCAGGCAAACAACCGGGTCTCGGCTGTGTTGACTTTTCCCTGGAACTCGCAAGGAGCCGTTGTGCCTGCATGCCACCAAAGGAGCGCAGCTTGCCGCTTTCACCTTTGTGCTTGCGGAGGAGGTCAGGTAGGCCTTGATCCTCACTGTCTGGCCTCCTACATCTGCTAATGTCTGAAACATGTCAAAAACCCCGATGTTCACGCCTCAGCCCCGTAACTTCAGTTTGACTTTTTTTATTTTAAAGAGAAAAAAAATAGGGGGCTGGGGATTTAGCTCAGCGGCACAGCACCTGCCTGGCAAGCGCAAGGTCGTGAGTTCGATTCCCAGTACCAGGAACAAACCAAAAAAAAAAACAAAAAAGAGAGAGAGAGAAAATAACAAAATAACAACAAAGACAAAAACAAAACAACAAAAGCAATACAGAATTTCAAAACAAGATGATCAGAATTAACAATGGTTGTTATATTACATATTGT